GTGAGGAAAAGTTTCTCGTTCAACACTTTCACACATCACATGCCCTTGTGACATGACTTTGAATAAGAGAGATGTAATTAAAGTAAGGATGATTTTGATTTATTGAAATCAAGTTGACAAACTAAAAGTGACTAAGACTAAGTCTGAACTCCTGAAACCCTAAGTAAGTCCTACCACATTAGTCACTTTTAGAATGCCAACTTGATTTCAATAAATCAAAATCATCCATACTTTAATTATATCTCTCTTATTCAAAGTCGTGTCACAAGGGCATGTGATGTGTGAAAGTGTTGAATGAGAAACTTTTCCTCACAATGTTGTAAGAACTACTCTATGAAACTAGGACCAGCCTAATCTCACAMAATAATTCCCCAAGATCTTTGCATTATGAAATCCCAGACAGATGACAAGATACCAACTCTGATCATGAATGAGAAATGAAAACTTGTGACCTGAACGTATTTCCAAAATAAAGTAATTTATTTTTAGATATATGAACAGGATTAAACACACAAACATTTATTAAAAATATTATATGAATAATGAACACAAGTTATATTTTCGACATATGAATTTCACGTCAGAGTTGACACAAACAGTAAATTCCAGGTGTTGTAACTTTACTGGCACGCTGCTTAACTAAGTTTTAAGTAAATAAGAGAATAAAGGTAAAGATTTAAGCTTTAAGAATAGGAGGAAAAGAAATTAGTGAATTTGGCACTTGTTCTTTAAATTAGGACCAGACCAGCAAAAGCATGTCACAGACGAGACATCTCCGGGCTAGACTTCAGCGTTTTTCTCAACAAACATTTTCTTCTACCTTTAGACGTCTTCAGACATGGCCGACAGGCAGGTAGAAGATTTTGAGAGTGACCGCCTCATGAAGTCCGCAGATGGATGATGTCTCCATGACAGCTAGGGGTTGAGAAGCCTCTCGTCTCCCCCTAACGAGCCTCAGCGGGCTCTCGGCGCTGGTCGTCTCAGGCAGGTGCTTGGCAGTTAGTAACATCCATCCAGGTTTACATCCATGCAGGTGCCCAGAGACGGACACGCACACCTCAGAGAAAACCCAGTCAGAACCATCTGCTCCGACGAACAAACAAGAACAACTGTTAACTGTGAGAACAGAAAATTAGTTCCTTGAGAGGAAGAGAGTGAGAAAAAAAAACAATCTGTTTTTCTCACACTGGCACGGCCAGCTGGTGTTGTTATCAGCAAAAAGACCTTGGCAGCCTGGACAGACAGATTAAACTGTGTCTTAAAAATCACTTCACCTAAGGTTATAAATCAGAACAACCCACTTTGCACAGATGGATTAATAGTAAAAATTAATAGTACACAATTATTAATCTTTAAACCAATTAAGAAAATGATAAAACCATGATTAATAACCCAGTACTAAGAAAAACAATAAAACACATTTCAACTCTTTTTCTTTTCACAGTGTTATACTCTGGAATAAAGAGAGATGAAAAGATTAATTCAATTAAACTTTGAGTAATGATATATTGATTATAACCTCTTTTAAAAGATTAAATGAAATATATATATATAGAACATATTGTTC